TCGACCCTCCATGTGGCCCTTGTTCCTGAAGAACCGGGTGCGGAAGCTGGCTTGGCAGATGCAGTATGTCCCCACGCTCCCCCCTTCATCTTCCTGGAGGAGAAGGGAGGAGGAGGAGGAGGAGGAGAGCCTGGCACTCGTTTCCATAGAAACAAACTCTCTCCAGCTCTGCTGCAAGGTGGTGAGGAGGAGATCAGGCCATGCCTCCCTGAGCATCAGCAGGATACTCCCCTCCTCACCCTATCTGCAAACAGAGCTTCCCTCCAGGCCCTCTGTCTGACCAGGTACCTCCTCTTGGGCAGGAAAGGCTCCAGGGTGTTATCTGACAGCACTCTGGATTTTGCTCTAAGAGAAGGTGTCACAGTTGTATGGCATCTTAGCACTCAGCAGAGAATGTCAGGAGAACACACTGGAGTCTTGTCTCTTCACTACCATCAATCTTTAATGCTGTGTCCAAAAGTTTACTCCCTTTCCAGGGAGGCAGTCCTTCAGCTGGTGCAGAGTCCTCTGTCTGGCTCCAGCCCTCCCCTATACTGAAGTATTTAGCTCCTATTCTGTGGCTGTGATGCCTTACAGGGACTGTTAAAGGCCCTTGCATCCTTGTGTAGGAAGGAGATTTGGAAAGATATGATTCCTTTGGGAACAAAACCAGTTTCACTGTGTTCCTTCGTGTTCCCCCTGACAATCAGTGACTGTTCCCATAACCACAAAATGGTGCACCTTTCCTTGTCTCTTTTTTTTAGCTAACAGCTTTTTTCTCCCTGAGGAACAGGTTTGGAGGTTGTCTGATGGCAGATATACTCAGAGGAAGTTTCCATGAGGGCATGTGGTATTACATGAGGAAAGGCAGGCACTGCTGACAGCCCTGGTTTGCTTCTCCCACAGGTGACCAGGTGGCAGGGATGCTCGCTGTCGCTGTGGCCTCCAGTCGAACCCTCGAAGTTCTGGACTTGGAGGGAACAGGACTTACCAACCAGTCAGCCCAGGTATGAGAGCCCACAGTTTCTCTACAGCATCACTGACATCTCAGTGGCACAGGACAGGGATGTCTGTAGAGGCCTTAGGATCTACACCTGCCTCCACCCCCCCATGAGTCCACATGTGCCCCCTTCCCTCCCTGCACCCAGGGGTGTTCTTACTTTCCTCTGGCTGTTTTCTGGGAAGAAGTAAGGGATTGGATTTTTGACTGAGGATCAGAGCTAAAGCTCTGTGGACATATAGGGGCCAAGACTCGGTAGCACAGGCTCTCCCCTCAGAGCCCCAGCTCCCAGCGGTAAGAGGGAATGAGCCTGGATATTTGGTAGCAACAGGGTGTAGAGCAGTCCCTGCTTTAGACAGAGCCAGGAAATCCAAGCTCAGCTTTTCCCACAGAAAGATGGGAAGTCCTCAGTCTCTCATAAAGCCTGATGAAGGCAGGTCAAGGCCAAGGGAAGGTAGAGGTAAGAAGAAGAGAGCTGGAATTTGCAGGGAGACAAAGCATTGATGCTTTTTCTGCTCAGCCTGGCTGCTGTTTGTGCTGCTTCAGCCTGCTTATTTCACTCTCCGCCCAGACCTTGCTGGACATGGTAGAGAACTACCCCACAGCCCTACGGACACTCATCCTGGCAGAGAACAACATTAGTCCCGAGCTGCAGCAGCAGATCTCTGACCTTCTCTCAGAGGGTGAGGAAGAGGAGGAGACGGAGGCTCACGAAGTCACAGCCAGGGAGAAGAACCCCTGGATCTGCCAAAACAGTAAGAGCTCTGGGAGCTGGGCTGTGGGCAGGAGCTGACAGGCAGGAGTTGGAGTATCTGGGGTGTTTCCAGTGCCACTGGTTTCTTGTGGTGAGGTTGGTGAATGGGATCTGTCCTTTCCCCCCATGAACTGGAATACATACAACCTCCAGGCGTGACCTTCATGTTAAACAGCGTTGGGCTGAGCCTCTTGTGGAAAGGCAGCCTCCAAGGACAATGCGGCTGCTGGAAAGAATGGAAACAGTACCTCTGAGGCGTTTTTCCTGATGCTGCAGGAACGAAATCTTTATGCAAAGTCTTAAAACTCAAGGGCAGGAGCATTAAAGATCTCAGGGGCCTTTGCCAGATAGCCTAGCCAAAACTTGTGTCATTCCTCACTGCTTCCAGAACCTCCCTGCAATCCGCACAGCATCAGCTATTCCTATCTCTGCGTCCCATACATGTGAAGGGTTAGCCAGGTGCCACAGCCTGTCTTTTCCTTGTAATGGAAAAAAGGTATATTATGGAGATAGCAGTAGCCTGTTTGGTATAGTTTGTATATATGATATTGTATATTGACATTCCTACCTTGTGATCCAGCTGTTTTGAGGGGTTGTTTTTTTACCTTCAGTTGTCCTTCCCCCCTCACAATTCCCATATCACGCTAGCAGGAAACAAGCACAACCACTCCATCAGCCTGAAAACATCTGGATCCTCATTTGTTAGAGCCATAAAAATAATTTAGTGACAGTTTTGTCCAAGTTTTGCATCCAGTTTCCAAAAATTGATCCCCAAAACAGAGATTCCCATGCAGCAGTTTTGAATGTGTAGGACTGCCACTAAAGATCTTCTCATTCCTATCCAGAAAAAAACAGATTTTTTTTCTGTTTAAAAAGGCTTCTGGTTGGGAGACTAGTATCCTACTGAGTTTCTTACTTGTTATGCATGCCCATCCTCCTTTCATCTGATTCACTCAGTGTGGGGAGAGTCACAGTGTTCCTGGCTGGTGCTCTGTGCCATCACAGAGCCAGCAAGCTGCCTTCACCTCCCCGAGGCAGGCAGGGAAGGGCTGCACAAACCCTCCATTCATGCTGTGCAGAAAGTCAGTATTTCCAGGCCTCTGCTGCCGTAACATGGCTGAGTGCCTGCTGTGTTCCCTGCTCTTGGGAAGGTAGCACCACCACCTTATGTGGGCTTGGTTGGCTTGCAGCCTGACAGCCCATCCCACCTGGACACTGTCTCTCTAGCCAAAAAAGCACTCGGTGAGTGCAGGGCTGGGTAAGGGCACGGCTGGGCCAGCACAAGCAGTATCCCTTGTATGTGGGCAGGGTTCAGAGCTGATGTTCCTCTGGGCTCTTGCTGCTGTCTCTGCTTTCTCCCCCTCTCCAAGCATCGATTCTACTCTGCTGCAAGGCCAGACTACTTAATCTCACACTTCTCTCAGCAGTTCTCCTCCCACCTGCGGTGCTCTAATTCCTCATCCTCACCTCTGCATCTGGAGTACTCTCTGTACTCTCTGGCAGCCCAAACGGCTCATCGTTTTCTCCCTCTCTCGACACAGATTCCAGCTCCCAGATGGTCCTGATGACGTCAGGTCTCGGTGACAGCCTCTTAGCAGAAACAGAGATGTAGCTGGGCTACCCTGCCTGCTTCTGCCGAGAAGAGCACCGTGCCCGCGGGGGCAGCGTGTGCCTGCCGGACCCCCGCCTCCGCTGGGCTCCCCAGCCCACTTCTCACACATTTCACCTCCTGCTGGCGCCTCACTCGGCTCTCTGAGCGCCGGAGCCTGGTCCGAGCAAATCTCTACACACGTCTCTGTGTTGTCACACGCCCAGTCGGCCGCTTGTGATTGTCCCGTCGCCGCATGTGTAGCTCACGCCGCCCCCCCCCACGCCCGGCTGTGCCCGCAGGGCGCAGGCTGTATTTATTCAGATGTGTATAAGAGATGCCCTTTCTATCGCTTGTACTGCTGTCGCGATGAGAGTTTTATAAAGGTCACAGACGTGGTGGCACCACTCGTGGCAGCGTCCGTCTCCGTCACTGTGTGACTCCGGGGAGGCGGGGGCCGGCAGGAGCCGGTAGGCATCGGCAGGTGCGGGCAGGGGCGGCAGGAGCCAGTAGTTACCGGCAGGTGCGGGCAGGGAGCGGCAGGAACCGGTAGGTATCGGCAGGGGCGGCAGGAGCCGGTAGGTACCGGCAGGTGCGGGCAGGTATCGGCAGGGGCGGCGCAGGCAGGCGCTGCAAGACCGGAGCGCCGGCAGGGGGCGGCAGCCCCTCACCCCCCCTCGCGCCGGCCCTCCCGCCCTGCCGAGGCTCCTCCACAGGCCCGGCCCTGCGGAGAGCTCGGCGACAGCCCAGCTTTCTGTCCCCCAGGCCCTCCCCCGGCCCAGGAGGTAGCGGGCAGGGCTAGTCTGGCTCTGCAGGGAGCTTGGCCCCAGCGGCGCACCCTCTGGTGAAGGCTTCAGCCCGCATCAGCACTGCGGCTTGCTCTGCTCGGCCAAGCGTCCCCTTGCTGGAGCAGACAAGGAAGATCGTGTTTCAAGGCTCAGATTAGGTTAGAAGATCAAATTGTGGCCGCAGCTGCTACTCAAGGGAACAAGGAATAATATCATTAATTATGGGAACAAAGAAACAAGAAACTCTTCCTGTGTTGCGCTTTGCATATATGTAGGTCAGAAAGGCACAGCATAACATGGGAGATGGAAGAAAATTCATCAGAGCCCTCTGACCTGTGCAGCACCATTCAACACAAAAAGGAAGCACTTCCAAGTGTCCGTAACAGCATCCTGCAGGAATTCTGTCTCATATTTGGACAACTTTCTGCCTGGGCTATGTCCAATCAACCTCAATCCTCCCCACACAAAATACCTCCTCTAGAATTATAACCCCCTTAGGAATTCCAGCAAGGTGGTATGTTGCATGGTTCCACATAACTCAGTTTCTGAAGTGGAGAACTGATACTCTCAGCTGATTCCAAGAGCTGGGACTTTATAAAACCCAACAACTATTAAAAGGATTAGCTACACCTCATCCTACTCTAGATCAGCAGGTGGAGAGTCTGCCAAGACACAGCCAGGACAGCTAGCAAAACACTTGAAAAGGGGTAGGCAGAATCTTACCAGTAACACTGAGGGTGCTTACAGGTCACAAGATCACTCTCTCTCTGAGAGCTAACAGGTGGCACACAGTTCAGCAAACTTGGGACACTGTACCCTGAGCAGCTCTGCTCCTTCACATGCTCAGTCCGGGTTTTAAGCAGCATCAAGAACACTACAGCCATTGCCATCTACTTTTAAAATAGTTTATTTCTGGTCTTAAAATATACATCAGTTTGAAAATCTCAGAAAAAAACACATTAGTTACAGATTAACAGTCTGGAGTTGGGACACTGGAAGTGGGATGAGCTCAAGGCCCCAGAGCCAATACTGCTGGAGGTGGGCAGGAATGCAGAGGGCACCGTGCCCAAGGGGAGAAGGCTCTGCTCCTTGAGGCCACTGCTTCCTCTCAACCTCTGCCAGCAGCCTAATGCTGCAAAGCACAACTGTCTGGCGAGGCTCTGGGCACTCTTTTGCCACCCCTCCACTGTTCTGCTTTTCAGTCTACCTTGACCAAAAGCAGAGGGAGGCTGGCTCTGCCCAGCACCATCAGCACCAGCTGCCTCAGCAAGAGAGGTTTTTATCCCCTGACCAGCATGCCAGGATTCAGGGGAGATGGGGCTGAGCCCTGAGGGGCAATGCCTTCCCCACTGCAGGCCACCAGCAGCCTCAGAGCCAGAGCAGCTCGCTCAGTGAGCATCCAACCCCAGGTGACATCCATGAGGCAGGATCTGACAGCTGCTGCAGGTGCAAACTCTCAGCAATGCTGCAGAACAGAAGAAATGCAGCAGTGGAGCAGCTGATGACAGCAAATACAAGGACCCTGCCACCATGACTGGGACAGGGGAGATGAACACTCTGCAGGCTCAGAGGAGGCTCCTGCTCTCAGCACCAGCCTGTCTGCACAAGGACCAAGCAAAATACTGCAGTGAAATACCGAGTCCCACCTCCCCACCAGAGGGTGGCAGGAAACAAGGTGAGTGTGTAGGCAGCAGCTCTAGCCAGGGTACGTAAAGCAACCTACATAACTGCCAGAGAGGCCTGCAGCTCCCTTTCACTGGCCCTGGAGCCTCCAGGCTTGAGCTGAAGCCCTGGCTGGCCCCAGCTGCAAGCTGCAAGCCCTTTGCAGAGACAGGGTTTGGGGAAAGGAGCAGGGCCCTCAGGCAGCTCTCGGCTGTACATCTTGATGTAAGCATATGAACAGAAGCTCCCTCATGGAGACAGGGGTGCTCTCCTCCAGCCCAGTGAAGAGCCCTCATTGTGTAGGGTGGGAGGACAACACAAACCCAACTCAAAAACCAGATAGCAGACTGAGGGCAGACGGTGGGGTTTGAAGGGGGTGTGGTGCAGGGAACTGGGCTGTTCTCTGCCTCGCACTCCCAGGAGAGCCAAGAAACACCAGAAAGACAAGAGCACAGGACAAAATTAAAACAGGAGGCCTGGGCTCTGTAAGCCCTCAAAAAATACCTACATCTACAGACCTCTCCCCTTCCCTCCCCCCCCAAGCAGACAATGAGCACACAAGACTGAGAAGAAAAGTCACACAATATCACACTACGCTAGGAAAAACACACAGAGAGCCCCACCCAGAAGGGAAGGCTCCAGAGGCACCAGAGCCAGCCTGGAGCCCCCCAGAGAAGGGGACGTGCAAGGAGACCCTGGCAGAGGGCTACTGCCAAGCCATGAGGTAGTGCATCTACAGGGAGCAGCTCCTCAGCATGCTGCCCTCGCATCCCTGCTGGCCCTGCACCAAGCCCTGCCCAGAAAAGCCAGTACCACCCTTCACGCCTTGCTTGCCTGGGGCAAGACCTTGTTCTTGAGTCTGGAGGGGTTTCTACAGGCTGGAGGCCAGGATCAGAGGGAAGCGCAGCTCTGATAGCTGAGCCTCTTCAACACACCCTCAACGCAGGCATCAGACCGGCTGCCAGCGGCTGTGTCTGTTTATGCGGGGTGGGGAGAACGAAAAAACAATACACCTCAAAACCAAAGGCTTGGAAAGAAGAAAGAAGCCCACCCAAGAGCAAAGCATCAGCACCGTTCAAACAAAACAACAGCACAGAGAGCAAGGGGAAGAGGTGTGAGGGAGGAGACACACAAACACAAACCCCAGGGCCCAGCAGGCAATGCCTCCCCGAACCACCTCAGCAGGCAGCACCCATGCGTTGCCTCTGTGGGGACCAGGTGCTGAGCCCAATGCTGGAAATCCGCAGAGGCAGATTCTGGAGAACAACCCCATGGGCAGCTGGGGAAAAAGAAAACCCAACAGAAAAATGAGATACCAGGAATCCCAGCACATCCCCATGGCACACAGCCATCCGCTGGGAGAGTCCTTGTGCCCCACTCATGGCTTCTGGGGCTCCCGAGGAATCAGACGCCACCACACAGGCAGTCTGCCCTGTTGGCACAAGAAAAAAGAGAGCAGAGCAGCTGTGGGCAACCAGCACAAGAGCACCCAGGGCCTCAGGTACCTGAGTGGGAAGGGGGAAGGAGGATGAGGGTGTAAAGAGGCACAGGCACCAGGAGGAGGGGTACCAAGAACTAGCTCTGGTACAGGCACCAGTGTGAGGCTGTGGAGAGAGCTGTGAGCATGTCGGGGCAGTGGGTGTGCTTTTGCACATTGCATGTGCTAGTACTGTGGGTCTGAGGTGCCAGGGAAGGGGAACCTCAGCTCTTCCAGGTAGCAAAAGGAAGAGAATAAATATAAAATTTCAGAGCAGACTCCCTCTGGGAGGAGGGTACTAAGGGAGGTTTCTCCCTCAGGTGGACTGATGGAGGCATCCCACAGCTCTGCAGCGTGTGGTCGCTTCTTGCTTGCTCTGCCTCAGCTGAGAAGGTTGCCCTGCTCCTGGGCCTGCGTCAGACTGTCCTTGCGATGTAAGTGGTGGACCCCCATCCTCTTGGGGCTGCGGTGCATCCGACTGAAGGGAGGCTTGACCCTGCCTTCTCCACTTTCCTCTTGGGCACCTCCTTGGTTGCTCTCCTTGTTTCCCTGGAGAAGTATTTCTCTTTCCTCAGCTGGGCTCTCAGGTAAGCCAAGGTCCACATAGTCCTTGTGCTTCTCTGGTGAGGGGCTTTCAGGCTCAGCACTGCCTCCACCGCTTTCATGCAACAGCTTCTGGGCTTCATCCTGGGAGAAATCTGTACCATAGTCTGAGGAGAAATGGCTCCTGCGGGCTCTGGACTCAGTGCTGTCTGTGTCCACACTCGAGTCCCGGCTCACGGTCCAGCTGCAGCTCTGCGCAGACTCCTCACCGTCTGAGTAAGCCGAGGCTGCCCTACCCAGCTCCTGCATGGAGCGGCTGAACCTTTTCTGGAGCTCAGGGGCTGTGTCACGGCTGAAAGCAGTGCGGTTCATCAGCACTCGCTCGGAGGTGGGGGGTGCCTTGTCCACAAACATACGCTGCCAGTTGGCCAGCAGGTCCTCCTCAGAGCTGGCAGAGCTGGCAAAGGCGCTCGGGATCTGGGGAGGGCTGCTGAATGGGCTGCTCTGGGAAGATCCGTGAGCTCTGGCTGCTTTGGGGGACTGCTGACAGGAGCAGCTGGAGGCTGAACGGTGCCCCTCTGAAGCAGGGCTGCTGGGGAGTGTCCGGTGCCTGTCGCAGCTCTCGTCTTCACTCTGTACCAGGCTGAGGGAGATGGCCTGGCGCGTAGCGTACGTGCAGTTGGGCAGGGGACTGTTCTTTGGGATCCTTACCTTGTCCTCAGAGAACTCAATCACTTTGCGCCCTGGGTACATAGGATGGGGAGGTGAGGGAGTAGGGTATGGGCTTAACTTCTCAAAGGCAGGCACATCCTCAGGCACACTTTCCATGCTACTCTGTGGCTTGCAGCCACCATTCTGCTGTTTCCCCGCATCTCCTCCCTCCTTTCCTGTCTGCCCTGAGCTGTTGGAGGCATCAGGAGGGGCTCCGCTCATGTCCACATGCACAAAGACATCCTCCGCCATGGGACAGCTGCCACTGCTAGACTTGGCTGAATTCAGAACCAGAGATTCTGGTTTCTCCAAGACTCTGGCGATGACTGAGGTGGGCACAACATCAGATGGTGCCAAGGTGTGGGCTGCCTCTTGACCAGTGCCTGCAGACTCCTGAGTGCTGTGCAAATGCTTATTGACCATGTCCTGCAGCTCATAGGGAAGCTAGGGAAAAGGAAAAAGACATTAGAAGGGGGCTCCCATGCAAGCCATTTAGTTCCAAATAATCTCCCTTTTCCAACCAACCTTCATGTGTACTTTGTACTCCTTATCTTGACCCTAACGTTTACCTACCTTGCCTTGAGAAAGCTATCTCTTTTCAAAGCAAACCTGCCCCATGAGGGACTGCCAAGGCTCTCTAGCTGTCACACCAGTCATGCTTCTAGGCCGTGGTTCACAGTCCCCATTTGGCAAACAGAACAAGAAAAGATGGCACATGGGCTCAGTCCCACATGCCTGTGAGCAGAGACAAGGCCCAGCCAGTGCATGGTAGGAAGGAGTCTATTGATCTGTGGAAAATCAGTCGGTGGTTGCACTGCAGTGACTCTACAGCCCCCAGTGCTGGGATCCACAGTGCTCCCTGAATGCGTAATTGCAGCCATGCTGCCCTGGCAGCCTGCCCGCAGACCAGGATCGATGCCTTCCCTTGTTCCAACCAACTCTACCATGTCACCCCACTTCCTTGCTCTCTCCATTTCAGAGAGGCAAATGTGGGGTTATTACCAAAGTTGCAAGACTGGGGTCTTGCCAGGGTGTAAGCACCACCCCTTGTCCTGAAAATGGGCACCACTGCTTTCCCCATCACCCTGCCAAGCTGCCCTCACCTTGGTCACCACATGCATGCACAGCATCAGCTGGAGAGCAGAGGTCCCCAAGCCACTCAGTGGCATAGCAAGGTCTGTCCCATCACAGCCAGAAGGAAACTGCATCCAAATCTCGGGATACAGGGCACACTGCATGACAACAGCTGGCTGTGAGGCAAGCTGTCTGCACAGCTGCTCAGCACCAAACCCCCTCCAGTGGCAGTCACATGGGACACAGCACTCTGGGGCGCAGAATTCAAAGTTCCAGAGAGGAGAGACAGCTGGGAAAGAGGTCAAGGTTACCCCAGCAGTAACTGATACACTGACCTCAAGAGTGCTAATCTGAGACACAATGGGGGAGGGTGACATATTGGTCACCTGCTAAGTTAAAAAAGACATGCATGTGGTTTTGCTGAGAGGAACACAAGAAGGGACAGAGACTAGAGGTGTGGCAAGGAGAGAGCGAGGGTAAGGGCTTGAATGGTACTTTCAACTAAGAAGTGATGCTAACGTGGAAGACCTAAACCGCATCTTTGCTCATCCTGAGGGCAGGATGAGCTGAACTCCCCTCCCCGATACCATTCCCCCCCACAAGGGGGAGTATAAGTTGGCATGAACTTCTATTCAGAAGGCCTAGAAGACACCCCGAATGCTGCCTCACACATTTCTCCTCAGGGAAATAAGTGAAGCCATGCCAGACTACTGCTGCTTAACTCCTTATGAGGCCATTCCATGTGGCCAGGTGAGGAAGGGAAAAGGATGGAGCACGGTAAGAGAGAGATCTGTCCTCCTGCCAGCTCCCAGCACACACCCAGCAGGATATCAAATTCAAGGTTATTGTGCTTTTTATAACAGCTCCTGGCTGAACTGTGAAATGGAGCTGTCATGTAAGAGGAGCTGGCAGAAGGTCTGTGCTGCCTTCTCAGTGGGAGTGGGAACAGAAGCCTCCCCCCACCTCTGCGGCTGAACGATGAGAAGTCAGCAGCCCTGTGGAGAAAGCTGGAGAAAGTAAGATGCAGCCCTTCTTCCCCACCTCAGCAGGATTGCTACTCACATCAGCAAACTTGTGGTTCCTGAAATGAGACTTGTTACACTTGAGCAGCTGTACTGCAAGGTTACAGTCCTGTCGATAGCGTTCCTGCAAGAGAGGGCACAGGTGTGCAACAGTGTTAGACTGGCCTGATCTCTTATCCGAAAAGGTCCCACCTGACCAGATGCTGCTTGAACAGAAGCCAGAGGAGACATCTGATGAATTGCTCCTGAGGGCACCTGTCATTTCCCCCTCCCCACACCCCTGTGTATTTTCTTACAACTCAGCCAAGGTGTCCTTTTCAGCTCCAGTCCTTGCTCCCACCATATACTCTGTCGGAGTATCAGCTATCAACCCCCTCTCCCTCTGAGGATTTTAATAATCTCCAAAAGTCCCACCAGATTTGCTATCCCATCCCACAGCTCTCAGCCATGCCTGATGATGCAGACAGACTGGAGGGAGTTGAGAGCAGTTAAAAGAATCAAGCACTGGATCCAGAAACTTCTTTATTATTAATGGTGTAGAAAAGGCACCATCTCTCTCTCAGCTCCATTCGTTCAAGCTGGACTCAGGTCAAACTCTAAGCTCAAAAGAGCAAATACATCAAACCTGAAGATGAGTTCTTTCCTGCTCAACCCCTCAGACCCTTTTCTGTTTGTCTCCCTACTGTTGTGTACAGCTCCCACACTTTCATACACACTGGAGTAATTTATGTGCTCCTTTCCACTGATAACTTTGAAAAAAGGAAAAGCCCCCGCCTCACACACTTCCACAGCCATTTGCAGACTGACACTTACATTGAGTTCCTCCAGCTTATTGATGGTGGTTTTGGCATCAAGCAATTTATTAGTGAGCTCTACAATCTCCCAGTCCAGCGTCTTGCGGTCCATTTCTGCCTTTTTAATCTGGGATGCAAGAACACCAGGTGTAAAACTCCCTAGCACAGAAGAACCTGGCTTCACCACCCACCTCAGTCCAAGCATAGCACAATGACATGTGCAGCTGGGACAAAAAAAACTTCCAGACAGACAGATAAGGGAGACAACCCTCTTCAAAGGGAAGGGATTCCAAAGGCCAAATGGAACCAGCCATTCTGCTATAGCTACAGAGACAACAAGGTTGACTTTCAACGTCCTTAATGCAGTATCTCTTCTTGCAGCACTAGCATGTTTCCCCTCTGTTCTGGTTCCCACGGTGTCTGGTAGAAAGCTAGTGGTTTTGAGCAATCAATCCCAACCTGCCACTTGTAGCAAAGACCTCTGAGCTTGCGATACTCAGCCATCTTCCTTGAGGAATACTGCCCAAAAAGATCCAACCATCAATGCTGAATGGACAAAAAGGCTTTTTTTGCAGGAGGAAGGCACCATCTTGAAAGAGTTTAAGCCTTCCTCTAGTAAAGAGCAACTAAAAGGACCTGTGTAGCATCATTTGGAGTTCAACTAAAGCCATCCCTAAAGCAGGCAATCTTGCCTCTTTAGACTTCCTAACAGTTCAGGTACAGAGCAGATAGAGACCCAGATGTAACAGCAAAGAGGGGCAACAGCTCCAAGCCATCACTGTCTCAAGAACTTCTTCCAAACTGGCCAGAGGTGCTGTGAGGCTGTGGCCACCAGGGCCCAGCTATGTGTCAGGGGTACAGCACAATTACACACAAGGGGGTACGAGAGGAAATACTTCCTGAATGTGCAGTCTCTTCAGGCACCAGCACAATAAATAACTGAGTAATGAATATTAACCCTAGAAATTCACGTGCTAGAACAAAAGAAATCTCACCCTGGGCTACACAGAGGCAATCACCATCTCAGCTATTTGACTTGCCTGCTCACAGCCCAGAAGGGGAAGGAAAGGGAGCAAACGAGGCTCACAGCCATCCACATCTTGTGCAGTGCCGCAGCTTATGGGCACCACTTCCCAACAACGCCATGCTCCAGCTGGCTCAGAGTCAAACACTCTTAAGATGGAGCACTGCAAGCTAGGACCTGCTGCATCTGTGGGCAGCTGCTGGATACCAGGTGAGCCCTTGGCTGGACGAGGGCTGGGGCCCCTTCATCTGGGATGGTATATGTGGGACTGACAATGAAACCACCAGGCTGAGACACGTAAAGAGGAAAAAGAAAAAACACACAAACGAAAAGACGCAACTGCAAAAATCCAGCTTTGGCTGAGAGAGGCCTGAGAGGCGAGTGCGCCCAGCGTGTGCCAGCGGCAGCGTGGGGAGGAGAAAGAGAGAGAGAGAGGGGGAGGGAGAGAAAAGAAACAGCCATGAGTGTTATGAATGCACACAACAGACATACACGCACATTGGCTCTGCTCTGACTGCCCCCGTCCTCCCAGGATGACCACCCCAAGACTGGCTGACACATCCCTGGCATTTTGAGACGGACTGAAGCAACATGACGGAATACCATGCAGTTATGTTGTGAGGAACCAAAGCTCACGTGCACAACCAAGTAGGGGCTCAGTAAATCAAGAAAACAGTTCATGACACCAGCTAGAATGGGGAGTAGATGGTCACAGCCCGAATCTCATCCCTCACCCATTGCCACATCTGCTGGGTAAAGACAGGGCCCCTTTCCCCCATCCCCTGTTTGCTTCCAACAAACAGGTCTCTTCCACCTGATTGCCATAGTGACTTAATAGGGCACTTACCAGGGCATGCAGCTTCTCCTCCAGATCTTGATTGGTTCTCTGGGAAGCAGTGTAGCTGTTCTGCAACCTACAGAAACAAGATTGTAAGCATGGGAATGGATCACAGGCACCTGGTCAAGTCACCTTCATAGCTGCCAAACAAACCATCAGCTCCAAAACTCCATGAAGGTTGCTGCTAAGACAACCAGGCATACTAGCTATGCCTTACCTCTAGCACACAAGGGCTTTCAGACCCCAAGTTACTGGAGGCAAGATGAAGCTGGCTGGGTGAAAGGATCTTGCAGGAGAGGATGTAAATTACTTTGGAGGACTCCTCTGAACTGTCATATCTAAGCACATGAGCAGTGATTGGTACTGATTTTTAACTGAGGTACTTTTCAGGTAAAGCAGTGATGTACTTTCTTGCAGCCATCAGTGGCTTCTTTTGCACATGTGGGTTAACCATATGAGCTGGATCCTGCCTTACATGGAATAGATGAAGAATTCCCTGTTGTCAGCCTCTCATGCTGGCAGCATTCCTACACCGTATCCTGGAGAAAATAATGGCTGTCGAGCCTTTAGGCTCCCCCCTTGCAGTCTGGAGGTGCACATCTTGGAGGATGCAGCATGCTTTTGATTTACACCACAGGGCACAGCCTGCTCACACTAGCTGAGGGAGTCCTCAGTGGAAGGATCTCTAACTCTACCCCTTTTTGGTTCTCCTTTTCATACCTACGGAATTTGTCCTTGAATTTCTCCAGTTCCTCACGGTTCTGGCCCAGTTCCATCTCCAGGTAGTCCTGACCTGACTCCAGTTCCCTCTCCATGGCCTCCATTTTGTTCGTCACATATGTCAGCCGTCGACGAAGCTCCTCATTCTCGTGCTGCAGTAGCCTGGGGCAGGAATAGGAACAAGGTATCACTGAGTTGCACAAGGGGTACTCCACACCAGCAACCCCACCCCACTGCTCTGCACTAGGGCCCAATGCCCTGCACAGGGGCTCTGAGAAGTCAGGAGCTGAACTGTCAGGAGACTCCAGCACATGAAGCAAGAGGTGCATCTCTGTCAAGAGACACTCAAACTCTCTTGGAGCAGGGGCAAAGAAGCACAGGCCAGCTGGTCAGCCATGGCTCCCAGCTCCCTCTCAGATTACAGTGCTTGGATAAAGCCCACTAGACAGATGAGCTGTGCAGCTCCAGTGTCCCTCACTGATGAATGAAAACCACTCAATAATTTATCCCAGTCCAGGTTAGAAGAGTTAAAAGCAAGAAGAGCAAAATCATCTTCTCCACTCCTGAACCAAAATCCCTCACACCTTTAATACATGGTGGAAAGAGGACTCCATACAGCCTTAAACCTGGAAGCAGAGGTGGTGGGGTGCATTTACAGATATGACCCCATTTACAGCTGGTCAACCCTACTGCAATACAAACTGCTCCATTCCTCCCCCAGCCAGGACATGTCTGCTGGTCAGAAGTATTTCCTGTTGTTTTTCATTCCTTTGTGCTCAGCTGCTTGGAGAAACCCAGAAGCACAACTTCTCTCTGGCAGTGCAAGCTTTCTCCTCACTATGGCCTGGAGCTCAGTGCTAGCAGCTATGTCCTACAGCACCACCAGCAAAGGGCTCAGTTCTCACCTCTGTCAGCAGCAGGCTTCTGCATACTGCTTCTGGTGGCTTACACCGGGACAACAACAAGGATTAAAAAATGCACTCCTATCTCCACCTGTATTAAAGACTTCATCTACCTTTCTTTCACACCCACCAACTCCTCTGCCTGCACCTGCACTGAGGTCTATGTTCCCTCCTCCTCCTCCAGGGAGACGGACATGCAAGGCAGAGCTTGGCAAGGCACAGACCAAAGCTCTGCCCACAGGGCCCCAAGATGACTGAAGATCTGAAAGGAGCCCACAGATCCAGTCAGCTTCGCTGTGCAGGTGGCACAGACAGGATATGAGGAATCAGCACCCACACAACTGTATGACAGGCATAAAGAGGGACCGGGACACTTACTTCATCCTTTCTGCATCCGTCAAGGGTTCCTGCACAGGGAAGAAAACAGCTGTGAGATTATTTCAGATGAGGAGTTGGTCTCTCATGCTATCCTAAAGGGCAGTCTTGGTTGCTAGACCCTATCTGTGACTCCTCCTCACCTGCTCTTACAGGTCATACTAGGCTACAAGGATCTGTACACACATCGCTCAGATGTATGATACCAAAACAGACTGTGTGTTCTGGTTCAGGGCAGAAGAGCCGGACTAGAAACCACCATACAAGCTAGGTAAGTTTACCCTCCCAGAGTGTAATCTCAGCATCTCTTGTAAAATCATCACCTTAGCTGGTGTTTCAGCTTCCTCCACATCCACAGTTAGTGGGTAGCAGGAATCTCACAGGCCAGCATACACAGGATTAAATTTTCACCACAGCAATCACTTGTGGGGCCCTTGAAGACCCACAAAAAGCACGAGAGAAAATCATTTGGGAGCTGAAAAATGTGGCTACCATTTACACCACCCAGATTGTGCTGTGAAAAAGGTTTCTTTCTGCAGACCTGAAACCAGCCACCGTAACTATTCTAGGACAGCAGAAGAAACACCAAAGGTCAGAAAAGCCTGTAAAAGAAATTAACGTTATGGGCAAGATCCCCAGAGATGGCTGGAGCAGAATCCTGCAGAAAAAGGAGACACAGAGCAGTGACAAGACCACGTGGCTCAGCTATTTTCTCTTCCTTTGCACTCTCTAATCCATGACCTGGAATAGTCAACATCCAGTACCCCAAGATACCAGGCATAGGGCACACACGAAGCACCAGGAGCATCCCAGCCCCTCCTGACAACAGAGCTGCCTGCCTCCTGCACACGCCTACTGCCCTGGAGCCTAAAGGGCCTTCAACCAGCAAACACCTGGGAAGTCTGCAGTGGTGAGAATAGCACCAGTTTCTACTTTTGTTAACTCCTGGGGCTAAAGGGAAGCTGGTTACACCCAGGAAGATATACCCAACCGGTAGCAGAGCCGTGAGTGGCACCCCCACTAGAGAGCAGCTTCTGGTCATTAAGCACCCACAACATGAGGTCTGGGGGCCTGCTCTCACTTGCCCCAGTGGCATTACAGACTAGATGAAATCCAGGTGGGGGCTTTGGCCTCCGTGAGACCCCTGTCTGCAAGCCGGTGACCCTGGCACCTACCTTGTTTAGTGCCAGGTTGAATGAAGGGGAGGATCTAGATGGGGTAGGCCCCTCCTCCCGACTCCAGTGTGTTGGAGTGGAGCAGGATCCTTTCTCTGGGTAGTTCGGCTCCACTGCACGCTTCTGCCCAAGCTTAGCACACTGATGGTGTGGCTGTAACAGCCGTGAACAGGGACTGCTTTCATCCCTTCTGCCCTCTGCACTGATTTTCCATGAAGACAGTGAATGCTGCTGCCCAGAGGATGTCCCTGCCAGCCCCAGGTCTGCCAGCTGCTGCAGCTCATACTGACACAGATCTACTACCCTTCTCTCCAAGGAAAGTTTTCCCTTACTGTCCTTCCTCCCAAGGACAGGTTTCTTTCTTAGTCTGGTAACTCTCCCAGCTTCCTCAGCACACTTTCTCAGGCCCGAAGCCATTCCCAGTCCCTCACATTTCTTTTCTGTTTTTCTTCTGCTTGGGCAGGGGGATCTTTCAGTTGCATGCTTGGTTTTGACCCCTTGCAGGTGACCTTCCCCTTGGCCTTCTGGCACGGAGCTTCTGGGAAAAAGGGGAGAGTTCTGGTCTTGTGCTGCTCCCCTAGTCTCTCCCAGTGAGCGCAAGCGGTTGGGACTCAGCACCCGCTTGGTAATCTCATCCAGGAATTTGGAGAACTGCAGTTTTTCTTCTGTGATCTTCTCCCTGCGCTTGACAGAGTCAGCGGCACTGCTGCTGCTGTGCTCCAGGGAGCGCTTCTCCCCAGGGCTGAGGCAGAGCTGAGGATCACTGTACTTGCGTGAGCCATGGCCACGGCAAAGTGTCTCTACTGAGCAGGACTTGCATAAGCTCTCAGGACATGAGCCTGTCATGTTGGTCTGCTTCAGGATCCCTTTGAGAGGCAGGTGTGTAGATGAGACACGAAACTTCCTCGGAGTCAGGACTTCAGGAGGCTCTTTAAATATAAGTGAGCGTTCCAGGCTTCTGCTCTTGAAAGAGCAAGTGGGACGGTGTCTTTCATCTCCAGACACCAGCACTGTCTCCATGCTACGGCTCACAAATTTGCTGCGGTGCCCACGGCTGCGGTTTGGGCACCGCTTCCCGCTTCGCTGCCCCATCTTCCCACTGCGTGGAAGTGCTGGCGAGACAGTCTGGCTCTTGATGTTCAACTCTGCTCTGCACCCTGCCACTTCCTTCTCACTGCTGGACTCCAGGGACCACGATGAGGAGAAGTTCAGGTTGCAAACCTCATACCCCTCTGCCTGCTCAAGCTGGCCTGCCTCGGTGTAACTAAACCCTGTTTGCTGGCGCAATGGTGTTAAGCCCTTTGTCACCCGGCAAGTTGTTACCTGACTCTGCTCAGCCAAGATCACTCCGTCCTGGTCGTCACGAATGATGGGTACCTCATGGCGGATTTCGCGATGCTGCGGGGGCGCCTTGCGGTAAGGCTTCTTTGACGGAGCTGTGCTCGACATCCTCCCACCTGCGTGGCTCTGAAAGCGGGTTACCTACCAACAGCAGAAAGTGCACAGAAGAGAGAGTCACGGGTGCTCCATCGAGCCCTATGAGTGACCCAGCAGGAATTCAGCTCCCCTGGAGTCCCAGAGCACGTCCCCATGCAGAGTGCTAATAGAGCAGGGAAAGGATGTAGCCACAAGCCTTGAGAAGCAGCTGCAGGAGAGGGAGCAAAGTAAGAGGTAGCTGTGTCCTTCTCCCAGCCAGTGAGAGCAGAGGACTGGCACATCCTCTCCCCCCCTCTACACACGCTCACTCACGTAGTTTGTGTGTGTCCGGATTATATATAGCAAATGAGAACAGAGCTCACAGCAGCATATTGATTAGGCTCTTTAGGAAAGGCCTTTTTCAATATGGAAACTGCAAGCCTCACAGGCAGCAGTGACAGCTGGAGCAGGAGTTATTGATCATGTCCTGTCACTGTCAGCAGGGACTATGTGGGAGGAGACTTCAGCCATTAAAGAGCCCAAACCCAGAACTTTTTGGTTTACACTGGAGTCCCAGTGCAGCAGACCATAGGAGACTTGTCAGAAAGAGGTACCATAGAACTGCTCACTCTGTCAGAAAAGACAAAGACAACCCCCCAGTCAGAGGTGGCATCAAATTAGGGAACAATGTCACTGATGTTAGTTCCTAGGGCCAGATTTTGCAACACAGAACCACAGAATGGCCTGGGTTGGAAGGGACCTCAAAGATCATCTTCTTCCAACCCCTTGCCATGGGCAGGGAACCTCCCACTAGACCAAGTTACTCAGAGCCGCATCCAGCCTGGCCTCGAATACCTCCAGGGATGGGGAGTCCACAACCTCTCTAGGCAACCTATCCAGTGCCTCACCACCCTTAGAGTGCATAAGTGCATAGTATATAGACGTGCAGCAGTACCACTAGTGGGAAGATTAATCCCTTTACCCCAGCCATGCTGGGCAGGACTCTTCAGCCACAGGAGCAGTACAAGAGCAAAAAATAGGGTAGATGAAAAGCAGCTATCTTGTACACATGGAAGAAACACCTTTCTTTCCAGTTTCTGCAGTAGTGGGCAGGAAGACTTCCCTACAAGCAGTCAGAATTTCAACTACCCTATTGTACACAAGAAGTCTCAGAGATGCCAAGTAGATGCTGTAGAGCCTTTCCTTGATGACGACATACGCCATCATTCATAGTTGCCCGATATTTGTAGTAAATGTCCAATTCTAATTCCCCTTTCCCCTGCAGGATCCTAACACTGATCAAGCCTAGCATCTCTGCAATCCTCAGCACCTGACCTGCAGCACTTCGAAGTGCAGGACCCGCATCAACTCAGATCACACTCTCTCCCCTCTTCTATAAGCAGGGCCATGCAACTCCCAGTCACATACCTGGAGTTAATGGATACCACTGGGCCAGTGACCTATCAGACTTCACTTATGTTTTGGATAGTGGGGTTTTACATGTTAAGAGTCTAAATGGAGTCCCAAGAATTCTCTCCAATTCTTAACCACTCTCACCTAGCTGCATCTTGTTGACACTCAGACTGAGTCCCCTGAGAGGACTGGCAAGTGTGAGGTGGCTGCACCAAGCACAAATTGGCTCCAAGCCATAACAGGCTTTACACTTCACAGGGACATGTGCAAACTGTCCTTCACCCTGCCATAAATACAAGCTCACAAAAGTTTCTCACACCTTTCCACAAACACAAACAACTTCCTAGGACTAACCTGTAAATCTCCCCCATAAAAATGCTGGAAAACTTCCCCTTGCTGCAGGTATTCCCTCAAGGTCCATTCTCCTGAACAGGCTCAGTTTTGGTGCCATTGACAAGGGAAAAGTAGAACAGCAGAAGTGCACCACAGAAAGAAGGGCTTTACTGCAGTCTCTTTCATGCCAGTGGCAGAGTGGTGGCCACAGAGCTACACTCTTGCAGCTGGTTCCCAGAGTAACACAATTCTCTTCTATTATTGATGGGTACCTGTAGTGGTTTAGTATTAGTTTAGTATTAAGTCTCTAATACTTTAGAAAAATCACATCCAGCATACTGAATCACATTTCACTGCATCCCCAAGCAAAACAGATAGTCTGATTTGCTGGGAAGACATTTCTTTCAAAGAGAAATGCTGAAAACCTGACTAGAAGCAGGTTTGTAAACACCCCACTATCAAAGAGGTTAACTAGGGAACCCTTCTGTCAATTCCCTACAAGCTAGGGACAGCAGATGTGCATGGAAATATCCCAAGCTGAAATCACAATCATTTCTCTAGTTCTTAAGGACGTGAGCACTTACCAGCCTGGGCTCAAATTTGAAGCCGCATGAAGCAGGGACACTCACTCAGATGCCCTGAAGAAGAGAAACAAATAGCTTAGCATCCACCACAAAAAAAACTTTGAAATATGTAAGGAATAGGGAATATTTATAACCAAGGATAACTAGATGGCCACCTCACTCCAGGAACCTGCCCAAATCCACATCGGATCTTCTGAAAGTAAAGAAAATGAACTTAGAATAGTTGGCCACATAGCCCAGCATGAGCTGGAAAGGCACCTGGCAAGGACATGTTCAAGGCACTCAGGCAACTGGGACCACACAGACTCAAAATGCAAGAAGCAATAGCTTCAAGGAAACTTGGTTCCAGGAAGGACTAACCAAATCTCCTATAGAATGGGACCCCCTCCCAGCTGATCTTCCCCACCACTGCAGAGGGATGCTAACTGTGAAGCCTTCAGTACAGAAGTTTGGTAATGCTAACAGTTACCTCACTCATCCTTTTAAGTCAGTGCTTCCCACTCACAAATGAGCTGGCAATTATTACACTCTTGTTTAAGCCAAAATATTACGTCCTCATGCCTACAGCTGTGGTAACCCACACCTCTACTAGAGGAAGGCAAGCTACCCTCTGACTTCCATCAAGCATATCAAACCCTACCTTGCTGCTAATAGGCTTCTGTAAAATCTTACCCAGGCCACCAGGGACACAATACAAGTTCAGAAACAACCTTCTTCTCTGTTCAAAGCCCCTGCTTTGGGTACATGTACTGGTTTTGGGTACTGTACTGGTTTTGTGAAGGATAGAGTTATTTTTCTTCCTAGTAGCTAGAACAGTGCTGTGCTTTGGATTTGGGATAAGAACAATGTTGATAACACACTGATGTTTTAGATGTTGCTAAGCAGTGTTTACAGTAAGGAAAGGATTTCTCAGCTTCTCACACCACCCCACCAGTGAGTAGGCTGCAAGGCACAAGAAGGTGGGAGGGGACACAGCCAGGACAGCTGACCCCCACTGTCCAAAGGGATATTCCACAGCATATGGTGTCAGCATACTGAGCATATGCTCACTATATAAACAAGAGGAAAAGCTGGCAAGGGCCACTGCTTGGGAACTGGCTGGGCATTGGTCAGCAGGTGGTGAGCAATTGCATCGTGCATCCCTTGTTTTGAACACTCTAATTCTTTCATTATTATCCCTTCCTTTTCTGTCCTGTTAAACTGTCTGTATCTCAACCCACAAGTTTTACTTTTTCCCCCATTCTCTCCACACTCCACTGAGGGGTGAGCAGTGAGTGAACAGTTGTGTGGTGCTTAGTTGCCAGCTGGAATCAAACCATGACAGGTACCCACCAATACAAGAAGAGAACTGGGTTAATCTGGGAGCCAGCTGCAAGAATGTAGCTCTGTGGCCACCACTCTGCCACTGACATGAAAGAGATTGCAGTGAAGCCCTCCTTTCTGTGGTGCACTTCTGCTGTGCTACTTTTCCCTTGTCAATGGCACCAAGCCCTGGGAGGCGGGACAGGAGCGCAGGGTGTGGAGCAGTTGTAAACACACAGGGAAAGTCAGATCGAAGGTGAGTGGAACAGGCAGGCAACCAGGACCACGCAAACTCAAGCTTTGCCAAAACAAACTGAAGAGGTGCCCAAGTGCTGGCCCTGTCCCAACAAGCTGTCTGGCCCCTTTCCTTACTGTAATGCTAGAGTCGGGTCTCAACTAGCACAGGGAAAAACAGCTTCACAACAGCATAACTGCTCTGTGGGGCAAACTGTAAAGTATGGGGGGGGAAAAAAGGAGAGGGAGAACGTGAACCTCCAGGAAGGACCGGGCCAGCATAGTTTCAATCTGCTTTTCCACCAACTCCCAGCAGCACTGAGGCATAACCACCAGCCACATGGGCTGGCAGACAAACAGAGGCTTCCAGGAACAGCTGCACCTATGTTTCCATTGCAGCTGTGCTCTGAACAAACATGCCAAAGGCCTCCCTGTCTCTCAGCACACGGTTCCTCAGGCTAAAACAGGACTGTCCTGGTTCCTACCCCAGAGGCAGCAACTATGCTACCTGCTATCTCATTCCCACTTACTTGGAAAAGATAACTGGATTTGAAACCTACCCTCATGATCTGAGAATTTCCAAAGACTTAAAAACTCACAGTGCCTCCAGGCAACTTTCCCTCAAACAAGGACTTACAGATGCAAAGTGACGACGTGTCCAAACATTTCTGGTCGCTTGCCTCCAAGTCAGCTTTCCCCTGTTAGCATCCAGCAGCATCTGGCCAACAGCTCCTGAAACACGAGAAAGGAAACTTGGTGTCAGTCACCTATAGCACAAAACATGAAAACAACCAGGCATGCGCAGAGCAACCCACAGCCAGGTGCCAGGGCACGAGTCAACAGCAAACTGCTGCACCATCAGGCTACTATCTAATGCCAGGTCCCTCCACAGTAAAAGCCCCATACCTTCACTGTATCCCAGAAAGAAAAGTCTTCTAGCCATCTCTCCACTGAGCAGGATACTTGTGCAGACCAGTGACTGACCTTGGAAACGCAGATGTTTTTTCTAGATGGCTCCAGGGGTCCCTGCTTTCCCACCTGCATTCCCATCCAACACCAAGAATCTGGCCTGTCATTCTGCTCCAGTCACTCTGCCACACCAATCTAATTTTGTTCTGCAGATATCCCTGCACTGAATAGCACAGTAAAGACCTCCTTGCCTACAATACCTGAGTATCCCTTGCTACCACAGGGAGAGAATCCTGGAGTGGTTCAATTCACCACACCTCTGTTCAGAGTGGAGCAGATATTCTCTGCAGAACAGATGGACCCTGTGCTCCAAAGCAGAAATGGATATAGGTAATATCCATAAATAGAAGAAGGCACCAATTCTGCTCATCATGCTATCCACAAGCCTCTCTCTGAAGGAGTTTGCTGTCAAGTCCACATTATGACTACCCGGCAGAAGCTCAATTTTAGCCTGGAGCTACAGTAGGAGGCAGCTCTTCAGCTATTCTAATTAGCACTGTAATACAAGATGAAATTCAACCTCCTGGTTCCTTTTATCTGTCTTTTCCACCTCTCATCAGTAACACTCCTTAGCATTTACAGTCCTTTTCCTAGCAGTCTATTGCCTGCAGCAGCTCCAATTCTACTCTTCTAGCTTACCTACTACTTCCCTACTGTAGTTCCAGTCTGATTTCTAAGTTCACTGGCAGTTTCAGCTTCACTGGAATGGCTCATTGAGGGCTACAAGGCTCACAATGACCAGCATGAACATTAGTCACGTCTTCCAGGCAGACACACACGAACACACTAAGGGTCACAAAATTGCAGTGTAAACTTAACATTTTGCTTTGTTAATGCAAAGAGCTAAGGATTCCTCCACCCCCTCACAAAGACAAAACACGCACAGCCTCTTTCCTCTTCACAGTGATGGAGTGCAGTGACAGTGTGTCCTCGTTTCAGCTGGGATAAAGTTAATTTTCTTCCTGGTAGCTGGTAGGAGTGCTGCATTTCAGATTTGGGATGACAATAATGTTGATAACATACTGATGTTTTAGTTGCTACTAAGCAGTGCTTACACTAACTCAAGGACTTTTCAGTTTCTCACACTCTGCCAGTGAGGAGGTACACAAAAAGCTGTGAGGAAGCATAGTCAGGACAGCTGACCTGAACTAGCCAAAGGAATATTCCATACCATATGGCGTCATGCTCAGAACATAAACTGGGAGGAGTTGGCTGGGAGGGGCTGATCACTGCTCAGGGACAGGCTGGGCATTGGTCAGCGGGTGGTGAGCAATTGCATTGTTCTTCTTGGGTTGTAGTCCTCTCTCCATTACAACTAATACTATATTTTCCTTTTTTTCAATTATTAAACTGTTCTAATCTCAACCTACAAGTTTTACTTTTTTTCCAGTTCTCCTCCCCATCCCACTGGGAGCGGGGGGAGAGTGACCAAGCAGCTGTATGGTACTTAGTTGCCAGCTGGGATTAAACCACAACACAGCAGCAGAGCGCAGCTGCAGAGGCAGCGTAAAAGCTTGACTCCAGCTGTTTTTACCAGAAAGCATCCCTCAGTGTAAAATCCACTTGCAGAGTAGCTACGTTCTCTGTGTGATCTGAGAATGGAAAAACCTTTACCACACACCAGAAACAGATGTCATCTAGCACAGAATTGCTTGAGACAGTTCTGTGGGCCCTGTACAGAATAAGCAGCCACTTGGCATGCATACAAAACCACAACACTGCCCATGAGCATCATTTTGTCTCCAGTAACAAGAAAAAGTTTCACAGCAGAGAAAAAAAAGGTCCAAAAAGGAATGCTTTGGACAAAAAGGGAAAGAACAAGAAAAAAAAAGGCAACATTTTCAGGCACCTACTGTCTTCCTGATATTTGGCAAATCCCTTGAAGCCTGAGGTAGCTAATACTTAACTTTGGTTTTAGGATGCACACAGCTTCTGCCTGGTTGCTGTTGCAGCAGCTCTGAACATTCTCTGCGAAGAGGCAGAGGACTTGCAGGATTTTCCTCATCATCACCTTCTCTTCTGTTGCCTGTTCTGACCTTATAAGCAGCAGTCTCACTTCCTCAACAGAAATATGGTGATTATGAGAATGTTCCTTATGTCAGGTACTGTATCATCTTTCCAGCCTTTTCCTCTTACAAGCAGCATTTCTTTAACTTTGCTTTTTATTGAGATGGGTAAACTTGTACGACTGAGAAAATACATTTCATAACACAATTGCATTTGTTTCTAATGCAACACTACAGAAAGATTCTGTAGCGGCTGTCACAGTCAGTGTACTCCAAAAACCTGCAAGCGCAATACCCACAAGTAAAAAAAACCAAATGTCCTGTGCCACATATCTGATCACCAGAATTATCCCAGAATTTTCACACTCTGTGGGCCAACCTATACTCTGCATGCATATCCAATACAGGATACTGGCACAGCCTGCTTTAGGAGACAATATCTCCTCACCAGCATCAGGAGAAGCAGAAGCAAGAGAGACTTGTCCAGCTATCTTCCTATGCTTATGGATAAAGGCAACCTTAGCTTTCACAAGTCTCAAGCCAGACTTTGTGAGAAGCTACTGCAGTAAGCCTGACCAAGACAACTAATCCATGAGATGGATGATGCAATAACTGCATCAAGGGATGTCTCTCCAGGACAGAAAAGCAAGCTATGTGAAGTTAAAAAAAGCACCTGTAGATTGCTGGTGCCGGGTACAATGGGAAAGGACTGTAAGGTTATCAAAAGGCACTTTAACATCTAAAAAGAGAGATCTTTTCATTCAGAGAAAAAATCTCAAAAGAATGTTCAGATCCATTTTGCTGCTGGCTTCTTTGAAGCTCATTTTAAAAGAAAAGCATGACAGCTCCTACTGCAGAGACTCACATCACAGTTCTGCTTGTATGATAATGCTCACGATTCAGATCTGAGTAATAGCATTATAGTGACTCTTGGATTAAAATTGAGTTTCAGAAGGATTATTGCTCATTCCTTCTTTTCCATACCAATTAACCTTGACTGTTAGGCAGAAACCTCTGTTGCCTGCATGGGAACAATTCCAAGAGCTAACAAGAAAAAGGGATCAGGCTAGCTATTGAACAACAGTCCATGTAACAAGCTCTACTTAACACCTGACATTTCCAAAGAAAATGAAATCCCTGGACTCCGCTTGTACATAGTTCCTGTTGAATGGAAATACCACAGGACATATGTATCTGTCATATCCATCGCACCATCCAGAATTCTCTTAAAAGTTATCGGAATCACACTTTTCTTACAGTCCTGTTCCCTCCTTCCACAATCCAAAGATCTCAGTCCCCCTAATTCAACTGCACTCCATACCCTTAACTATGCATTTTATTATCTACTCTTTGCTAAGGTAAGAGCAGCTTAGCTTTTCTAACCCTTTTATAAAAGCTAGGACAGGTCAACATTGCCCAAGAAACACTAACATTGCTAACACGTAACTGGAATAGAATGCAACAGCTGATTAACATCTGAACAGGAACAGGGCAGGAAGCAAAGGACCCGAATTCAATCCCCAGAAGGAATGTTAATGGAGAATAAAAATACCCTGGGGAGATTTTGACCAGGAAATGAACACTAGCTTTCTAATGCATATAAAAGCATAGAAACATCTTTAGGGGCTACACCTGAAATTGTACAAGAACCAGCTCAGCAAAAGGTCATTTACCAAGTTACCTTTAGCAGGGACAGCTACGTTGAGGGCTAATGACAACTTCTCATTCAGAAACGCTGACATACCAGAAGGCTGTTCAGTTTGTTCAGTGATCCTGTTAGCTTGATCTCTTTAGTTTGTTCAGTGATCCTTTCAACTTCACAAGGTAGTTTAGGCTACAAACTTTCGGAGTCTCTTCATCTTTGCGCTCTGGGTTTTATCTCCTTCCCCACTCTGTCTTCATAACTGTGTTCTTTCTTTTAAGATCTTCCATGGGAAGAATTCTGGAGTATATTGCTCAGATATTTAAAGAAAAAGCAAATCTTGATGCCCTAACAACATGTATCTGGCAAAAAGCTGATAGATCACATGAGGTAAATTTGGGAGTCATGGCCTAAAACTTTCTCAAGCACAAACAAGGGAATGGCTACAAGTAAACATTTGAAGAAAAGTGAAAGAGGTAGATTTCTGTAGAAAATCAACATGCAGGAATTCCCTTCCCAGACCTCTGTCATCTCCTGTGCTGTGCAGGAGAGGAAGAAAAGGGGAAAAATCATACATTACCTTCCTAGAGCATAAAATCAAAATGCATTTAATAAGGACAAGATAGAAACAACTTGAATTTTTCAACCACTGAGAGGCAGACTCTCAGCCCCTCTAAGTATTCCCTAAGTCTCACACAACTCCCAGCAATTAATATCACCACTCCTCTTGTTTCAGCCTTTGGTTCAGAAGTTCTGGGAAAACTACAGTCTCCAGCTCTTCAGTGCCAGGGACTGAATGTCACCAAGTTGTCCCTCTAGCAGAGACATAGTAATGCCAGAGAATACTCCATTACTGGAGCATTCAACTATGTGCTTCCCTCAATCTGCTCTCTAAAACATCCCCTCTGTCTACGAGTCTCAGAGATGCACAGATGGCTAACACACTATGCAGTATCTACACAGCAGGACAATGGAGCAGAGCATATTATTTGCATTATTTACAGAGGACAGATGGACAAGTTTCTGCAGTGACCTAGCCTACAGAGCATCTGCAGTGTTCAGGAGGCATTAAGTCCAGCCCTGATGCTTGCAGGTGCTGACAAAAGCAAACGTAA